TCCCCGCTCTGATACCCTTTTATGGAATTCCCCGCTCTGATACCCTTATATGGAATTCCCCGCTCTGATACCCTTATATGGAAGAGGGACTGAGCATCCGCATGCCCTTTTATGGAATTCCCTACTCTGAGGGAGGGACTGAGCACTCCCGCCTGAACTGGAGAGTATATAACTGGGAGTTTCAGAGCCTTGCCACCTCTCGTGGGATCCAGAGGAAGACTGCAGACCACTGCCTTCAACTAGACTGCAGACCACTGCCTTCAACCAGACTGAGACCACCACCCTCGACTGGACTGCAATCACCACTTCTGACCAGACTGCAGCAGCTCTCCCACCAGCAGGTTTTTCACCTCTCCCTTTGCTTTGGACTCGGGGGTGGGCCGAGGTACACCACTCTTGTTCATACCCCAGGGTGCTGGGTTATACATTTGGGTTTTGTGGGTTAAAACCAATTGTCTGTCTGTATAATTGTACTTATTGCATTATTTTAATAAATTGTTATTCTGACTTATAAATCTCTCTTTTGAATTGAGTTCATTTTCCCTTGCTGGTTAACTTTTAAACCAGCACAATCAGTAATGTTATAGAATGAAAACCCAGGCTTTTCAGGATGTGCTAATACAAAGGCAGGGATGTTTTCATGTGCTGTTCTGCAGGGAGGTGCTGGAAAGACAAGAGAGACTCCAAAACTCCATGAAGAAACCACCAGAGTCCTTGTGGAATCAGTGATGGATTTTTAGTGTCACAAGGAATCTTTACCAAGGGACAATATGCCCAGTATGGGTAAGCATTAAACAGATTTCAGAACAAATTTTGGGAGTAATTTCCTGTAAACATTGCAGACTGTTATGTAATTTAGAATGGTCCTGTTTGAGCAGCCTCTTTTTTTTTTTTGGTTATGTATTCAGTATTTTAATTGGTTGGGATTTTTTCTCCTTTAGACCACTGAGCTACCTGAGCAACAGAAAATCCATTTAAGTCCTGCAGAGCAAACTGATGGAAGTGCAGTTGGAAAGGGATGCCCTTCTGGATACCAGGTATGAAGGCCAGGGCAGATTTGTATTATGGAGAGTGTCTGGGCTTTGAGAACCACACAGGGAGAAACTTCCCTTCAGGAATAAGACTGTAGCATCTTGGTTTAGAAAACAAGTTATTATTTACTTATAAAAACCAGCAGTTAATCAACAGAAGTGCTGTACCTATTAGGATAAAAATCCATGTGAATCCTGCTTTCTAATTTATTTATTTTTTTTGGTTTCCAGCTTCAGACAAAAGGAATTGCAGAGCCAAGAAAATGAAAAATTACAGCTGAAAAATACTATTCAAGAGCTGGAAGCTGCCAACGAGCTGCAGGAGGAGATGCTGAGGGAGGCTGAGAGCCCAACTGAGCATCTGAAAAAGATGGTCCACGGCCACAAGGAAGTACTTTTGGAATTACAGGGCATTCTAATGGACTACAAAGACAGCAGAGGCAGGAAACTCTGTGAGCACAAGGATATTACCAGCCTGCTCCTCCACAGCCTGAGCACAGCAACTGTCCATGTCCTGAGAGATTTAGACTCAGAGGTGTCATACCTCAAAAAAAATGTTGTCCTGGTATGTGAAGAAAATGCTGATTTTCCTCCCAAAACTCAGTTTTCTGGTTTTTAGGAAATATTTTTGAGAACTCCACGAGTTCCCTCCTAACCTGGCCTAAGGAAAGGGTTATGGCATAAAGAGGTGCAAATGCCACTTTGCAGTTCAGGTGGCAGGTTCTGGTATTCCAGCACTGATCCCAACTGGAAATTGGGCTTATTGCTGGCATTTATCCCGTGTCCACATTTATTCCACTGCTCAAGGTGAAAGAAAAAGGAAGAAAATTACACTTTGCAAGCTATTGTTCACACTGCCTTTTCTTTAGGGGTTTGCACTGTCATTTGTTCACAACAGGTAGAAGAAGAACTTCAGTCACTGAAGAAAGGTTCACAGACCCAAAAAGAAATTCTGCTTCAGCAACATCAAATTAGGTACCTGTTCTCTGGTTTTTCTTATTCATAAAACATAAATAGAAGTTTTTTCACAAGCTCCACAGATAATTTCTTGATGATGATGATGGTATTTGGGGTGGGGTGACTAGGGGGTAGCAAGCAATGTTCTTGTTTTAATAATTGCTCCATCCAGATGTTTATTTGCTCGTGACTTTCTGCTGCTTTTTCCTTCCATGCTGACAATTTCCTGGTTTATTTATTGCCTCAAAAATACTATTTTGGAAGAATCTCTACACCTTACTTTTCTAAGTGTGATTGGTAACTTAGTTGGATGTGTAGAATTTGTTGGAACAGCAGTTCCACTGTTAAAATAAAAGATTAAAAATAATAATTTTGGTGATTAAATTGGCTTTCTTTCTGGCTGCCAAAGCACTTAAAACTTTGTCCTTCCTTGTTTGAGAAGTCCAAATTTGCCCTGCTATCCACAAGAGTTATACAGTAGCCTCTTCAAAATAACAGGATTGACAACTCGATACTTAATAACAGAACATCAAAATTATTACATTGCCGAGTACCGAAAGAAGTTACTGTTTGCCAAGATGAAAATTAGTAACCAGTATTATCTTTTTGGAAGAGGAGTGAGCAGCTAAGAAGTGAGCACGAGCAGGAGGTGGCAGCACTGGCTGGTAAAGCTGACAGTGCCTGCAGCTTGCAAAGAGCACCCAAAGCCTGGTGGAGAGGGATCATTCAGTCTGTTTTTTGATTGTAGTGTACAAAATGTTAGGAGCAACCTTAATTTGGGAGAATTTCCACTTGCTGCTTCACTCATAGTGAAGGAATATCCCTCTGTGGAAAAAGGTCTTTTTTTTTTTTAAAGTACTTTTTTGCCCATTCCATTAAGGGCTTATGGTGTAGGTAAGGAATTTCTGAGGAGCTGTGGATCAAGGTGGAAGCCAAATTACTCTCCAGAATCATAACTAACTCTGAAGTGAAATTGAGTTTAATCACTAAAAGAAGACAACACAATTCTGATTACACTCAGGGAATAACTCTGCTGAGCCAAAAAAAAGATGTTTGGACTTGTTTCAAGTAGAACCTAACAGAAAACTAGAATAAATCCAGTGTACTGCTTAAAATAGAATACATTAAGATAATTCTTAATGAATATTTGTCTTTTTCTAGGTCAAAGACCTTGAGAAGCAGTTGCTCCTTCCTCATTCTGAGCCAACAGAAGCTCACACAAAACAGGATCAATGTGGCCAAGAATCTGGAAATCTGAGGGACCCGATTCATCAATTGTTGGTAAATACAAGTGATAGTACTGAAAAAAATCTTGCTTTCTAAAAGCCTGTCCTTACTGCTGGTGTTCATGTTTGCATCTTTCCCCTTATAATTAAGTTTGAGGATTATTTTTAACTAGAAATTTGAATGAGCTGTGAAAGGCCCAGAAGCCTTTTCCATTAGCAATGCAGGACATCCAGAATTAAGATTAACTTTGTCCTAAATTCAAAAATCACAGAATCCTATGCAAATCACATTAAAGATGCTGAGCAACCTTCACTTTAACCTCACAGTGACTGCTTTGCTGGTTTGCATATGGTGTTGACACGGCATCATTTTCTTTCCTTTTGTAGCTTATACTGATTTGGGGATAGATACAAATGACATGTAAGACTTCAGCATTGAGGTGTTACATGCTTCAAAATAATTACAGCAGCAATATATGCAGTTGAAAGGAAATATATAAATTTGGAAGGAGAAGTGGAGGAGATGTTAGACTCGTTTAGCCAACCTTTCTCCTTCTGCCAAGTGGAAACCCCTGCAGCAGTTCCTATTCCAATGTGTAACTGGGCCACTGAATGCTGCTAATGTTAAGAGAACAAAATAATCCTAAATGTGTTTAGGAGGGAGATGACTTTGATTTCTCATAGGTTAAACTTCATAAAAAAGAGATAGAACTAAGCCTGGAAAAAGAACAGAACAAGCGATTTTGGGATCAGAACACAGACAGCAGCATCACCGTGGACCAGCTCAGGAGACAGCTGGACAGCAAAAACCAGCAGCTGCAGAGCATGGAAGAGGCAGTGAAGGAAATGAGGATGGAGTGTCGCAGACAAATGGAGTGCCAGGTTGGTGATTTTGGCTACAAACTTCCAAAAGGGCATTCTGTAAACTTCCAGTAAGTTTGGTGCTGCCAGACGTACCAAACGAGCTGTTGAAGGTGGTATTCTGGGTAGTGAGCATGTCTGCAAGAGTGGTTAGTAAATTAAGGGCCTCTGTGGTGCTTTACTTCATGGGATGTTTAATGAAAATATAATGAAGTTTGTGTTTATAACCCAGTGCCTTGTCAGAATTCCTTCTGACAAAGATGATTCCTAGACACTCACTTTATATTCATTCCCCTTTTCTCCAGACTTCAGCTCCTCAAAAATGAGCTGCAAAGAGATAACCTGCTTTGCATTATGAGTAAAGATGAACTATAGGACATTCTAAAGGTAAAAATAACCAAATCACTTGGTTGATCCTGGTATTGTTATTCTTCAGATGGCTGCGATTAAGGAAAAAAATGAAAGCATTGGAAGAATCTCCTCTTTGAGTGTCCAGCTGGAGGCAACCAAGGAAACACTCCGTAAAGTTGATCTTGCAGCCAAACAGATGGATTTGGAGGCTGCTGGGAAAACAGTGTCAGATCTGACAGCCTGTCTGCAGGAGAAGGAGAGAGCCCTTGGGGTTACCAGCCAGGAACTCCAGGAGCTGCATTCCCAGCTTGGCAGCAGGATGCAGGAGCTCCAGCATCTAAAGAATGAAGAGGGCAGCTTACACAAGGTGCAGTCGGAGTGTGAGACACTGAAACTGCAGGTGTTGGAGAAGGAAAGGATCATTAAGATCTTCCAAAAGCAAACTGATAACATGACCCAGCTCACGGGCCAGCACGGTCGGGCTGCTGGAGCGATGGAAGCTGAGGAATCCCAGCTTAGACAAGAAATAAATGACTGGAAACTCCAAGTAGAAGAGCTCAAGGTGTGCAAACGGTGCTGTATTTATGTCTCTTTAAGGCAGCGTGGGTTTTCTGTTTTTAAATCTCTACCTTAATGGGCTGATCTTGTGGTTTTGGAGAAAGTATCTGGAATCCTAATAGCATTAAGTTAGTGGGCAGAGAGGAACAATATGATCAACATGAGGAGGGAGTTGAGCATTGGGAATGAATTGCTACAAGATGGAAATCATTTTCATATCCTACACCTGGTAAGGTGTAACATGCTGTAAAACCATCACATCTGATTCTGTCGCCCCCTTTTTGCCTGCATTAGCAATTTTCACACAAGTAATCTCTGTTTTACTCTGTTTTAAATTTCTTGCCCCAAAGTGAGATTTAAAGTAGTGGTGTCTACGCATGTTTGTGGTTATTTTATATAATTATATATGGTACACATACTGTTGTTTCTTATGTAAGCAGGTTGCAAAGGATGAGAAAGAAGCCAGAATACGTGAAGTGGAGGCCTCCAGACTGAGTGAGCTGGAGCTGGAAAAGGTTCAGTTGGTTAACACATGCACAGAGAGGCTCCAGGCACTTAAAGATGTGAAACAGGAAAAAGATCAGCTCACGGATGAACTCCAGGCTGGTAGGAGCAACCTAGCTGGCCTTGCAGGTAGGGAGCCCCAGCTCAGCTCCCACAGCTGCTAATTTGGGCTGGTGTTAAAAATAAAAGAGCAGCTTGCTCCCTGAATCCAAATATGGCTGCTGGTACAGCAGGAGATTTCCTGCCAGCATGGGATGGTCGAGTTCCTGCAGGGAGCTGTGTCATAGCGTGGGATTCTGGCACAGGAGGCTGGGAATACAATCTTTATGGCCCATCTCAGTACCCTGAGCAAAAATACTTGAAACTGCCTGGCTCCAGAGATGAAAAAAGCAGATCTAGTAAAACACAGAATGGGAACTTGACCTCTGTTTCCTGATTGTTATTTAAGAGAAGTAGTGGATCCCTTTAACCTTCTGTGGTCAAATTACAGGGAAACATTGTTTTGTTGTAAATTTGCTAAAACGTTATTAAAAGTTGCTGCTCTAACTTCACTATTTTCACAACTAATACACCTTTTGGCTGGACCCAAAGCAACCACCAAAATTCACAGAGATTGTCAGTTAAATCTGCACTGCAGCTGGCTAGATGCCACTGGTCTCTGCACACTCCTGTACCCTCAGAAAATATCCAAAAGCACTTCTTTTATCACAACTTGGCAGCAGATCAGTATTCTAAGTCTAGAAGAATGATTTTTTTTTTCTTTTTTTTTTGGTCACTCTTAATTTCAGTCTTTCCTGACTCTCACCAGAGGCATTTGAAGATTTGAAGAGGGATTACCAGTACAAAATTGAGGAGATGGAAGACAGTGCAAACACACTGAAAATGCAGCTGAAATCTGCCCAAACTGAACTGAAAGAGGCCAGGACTGCTCTAAATACTGTGGAGGGATCTGCTGGCAATGGTAGCTATGGGTTGAACTTCCCAAAAATCACACACATTTGTCTTGTTAACAAGAGAATTTTTGTAAGTTTTACAGTCATAATCACAGTTGTTCATTGAGGATTAACCTTGTGTTTTACAGCTCTGGAAGTTGCAGTGAGAATGCAGAAGCAGATCACAGCCAAGAGAGGGCAGACAGATGCACTGCAGAGCAAGATTAAATTCTTGGAAGAGGCAATGGCTAACACAGCTAAGGTCAGAAGAGCTCTCTGTAAAAGCATTTAATTGGATTTAAGGAAATTTATCTTGGGAGAAATGCATGGCCAAAAACACAGCTGGCCCAAGAAGGACCAAAAATAATTTTACTTGACAAAGAAATCATTCAGTTACCAACAGCTGTATTTTACTTCTTTACTGGCTTTGGGTCCTGTGGATGCTGAAGCTTCAAATTCCAGTTTCAAAAGGGATCTAAAATCTGAGATGTTGTTTCACCAAGATTCACCAAGTTGCACTTTTCCTTATATTCCTTACAAGACCTATCTTCTTGTTGCAAAACCTCATTTTTCTGCAAGATGCAATGACTGAGCTTCTCAAAGGGTTAATTCAGATCTTTCAAAGATAAAAGGATTTTAAAAAAGGTGCAGAAAACAAATATGTATAAAGTATAAATTTTTGACTCGTGCTTTTTTGTCCCCATCTTAAATTCAGGAGAAGCATTACCTCAGAGAAGAAAATTGTAAACTAAGTGAAAAATTGAGCTGTATTAGAGCAGAAAATATCAGGATTGCTGGGGAACTGGACATCCTGAGAGCACAAGACAAACAGCTGAAAGAAAGACTATCTAAGATGGAGACAGCCCTTGATAAGGTAATTCAAGGTAACTCGGAGTTCAGGGACACTTCTAGATGTTCTCCTCCACTGTCACCTGGGAAGAGAAAGGTTATATTTAATAAGTTCTTTTCACATGTGCTGGAAGATCCTTACTTTAAGAGATATTTCTATTTTTTTTCCATAAAGAGCCCTTTCAGAATTCTAACTTTTCAGGATGTACATTTCTACATAAGGTGTCATTTTCTAATTGCTTTAAATAAAAACAAAGAAAATAATTATGATGCCTCCTCCCAAGTGTGAAATATCTTTCTTTAAGTGCTTGTCACTGGAAACTTACCTTTCTTGTGTGTATAGATAGTCTCACCCCTTTTCACAGTAAACTTTTTAAGGAAGAAAAAGTATATATAACTTAACAAAAACAGGAACCAAGTTCTCAGCCACCCCTTTTAGAAGCTTGAGTATAGTTTTGCCTCTATTTATTGTGAACAGCTCTAAACTGTTCACGTTCTGAAACCTTTTTTTTACATGGAATTCCTCATTGCTGCACACGTCATGTCCACAAATTCAGGTGTTTGAAGTGCTATTTAGAGTAAGGGCAATGAAAACAAAGATTTAGTCCAATCTCTGACTTTACTTTTGAGATGAATAGAGGGTATTATTTATTTTTGCCTTATTTATAACCTATTCAGGCTGCAGTGAGACTGTTGCTATGAATGAACAGTACATGGAGAACAGTCCTTTTGTCCTAAGAAATTGTCATTCATTTTAGTGACCCGCCCCAGCTGCGAGTTTTGAGGGAGAAACAAGATGCTATATTCAAATTATGAATACAAAAAGTGCTTCAGAGGAAGAATGACTAAGGTGGGGAACCTCTGTTGTTTTTTCCACAGGAGCTGCAGGGCCCAGGCTACTCATCAGCTTCTGCTTCAGGAAAACTGCGGCATGTTGTGCCTCTGTCCCACCTGTACCCTGCTGTCCTGCCACCTTCCCTGCCCCTCAGATGAGCACCTTCCTCAGGATGGGAACCTGCACAGGAAACCAGCATATTCCAAAGGGTAAAAATATCCTGGAATTTCTAAGTGGGACAGCATCGGGTCGCAGCGTCCAAGAGCGAATTCTTAACACCAAAGATGAAATCATTTTCTGTAGCTTCTTGTATGTCATGGCCTTTCAGGTCAATTTTTTTGTGTAAAAACCAACCAGACAATTAAAAAACCCTATAGATTGTGGTAGGAGTTTATTTTATCTCTATCATCAATAATACTTATAAACTATTTACATTGGTTTTCACTCTTTTTCTTTGCTAGTACTCCACTTGCTATAAATCACTTACATTTGACAGTGAAAATAGACTCCTACATAGTTCTTGATAAATTTAAACATCTGATTGATGCTTAAATCTTTCTCCACACTGGCCTTCACTGATTTTGACCAGTTTTGTCCACATCCTTGTCCTTCCTTTTGGTTTTGTACATCTACATTTAGATTTAAATTAAATTCTTGTGTTGTTCTGATTTTTAGTTACAGAAAACATCACCTTATGCAAAAAATCTCTTATGCAAAAAAAAAAATCTTTTGGAGTTTTTGTATATAGATTTTTGTAAAAATCTCCAGAAGGGACCTGATGTATCTTCAGCAGGTGTTTTCTTTAATTTTTACCTCAGAATCTGCAGGAGATCACAAGTTAGTACAGATATTTTTCAGTAGTATTTTCTGGTTTACTTTCTGATGTGGTGGCAAACATTTACATCAAGGAACAAAGGATAGTTGCTTCTGCAAAATCCCTGCAGCATCAGCCACTCCCACTCTCTTTTCTTTGAGTTAATCAATTTATATTTCTCAGGATAAAGAGGGAGAAAGGAGTGATTTTTAATGCAGTGCCACAGTGAGGACATAACAGGTTGCAGAAGCACTTGAATTAAAGTCTGCTTTAATCTTCTTGGTTCCTGCATCATTAGTTGCTGTACAAAAGGAAGCAGCTCCAACCCTTGAGACAGACATGAATGATAGTCTGGTTCCTTAGCTGGAATGTGGGAAGGGCGAGTTTGGTCTGACCCAGTATCACTTTGACCCCTTATGAAGCTGAGGGTTTGTTCTCCACATAAGCCCTGCTGAAACCAGTGTGTTCCCATTGAAAATTCCTTTTTCTTTCCCAATGAAAATAGGGTAGCAAAATGTTTGCAGCCAATTCCATCTCCAGGTAGAGCAAAGGTCAGTGGGAGCAGTGCTTTGAACTTACAAAGTGCTGAGAAGTCTGAAAAATCCAGTTTTTACAGAAAGGAAGGATTCTTTGAACCAGGCCTTTGCCTGAAGTGTTGACCAGTAAAATGAGGATAATCTTTCATTTCATCTCCGAGGTGGCTGTGACAAGAAAGGAGTTTCTATCTGCAGACAGCTAAGCTGTTACAGGAATGGGTGCCTGGAAAACACCCTGATCTGCTCCTCTCTCTGTCTTCAGCACTGTGTCTGTGTCCTGTACAGGGGTCACAGGGTAAAAAGGAGAAAACAAAAGTAAAGGGGGTAAAAAAAGAGTAAAAATTTGCCTCTGGATGAGTAGAGCTAAGAACTGACAATCAGAGTGCCTTTGTAAATACTTTGTAACTGAATGGTTTTATTTCAGGTGCCTTCCAAGCTGGACATTTCGAAGGAAGAACCGTTGCAGGATCTAAAGAGGATTCTTCAAGAATTAGCAGGCTCAGACAGTGACATTCCCTCTGTGGATCTCAGTGGCAATGGTGGGAGAAAATCACCTTTATCAGCCATGAGCAATGCAGTGTAAGAGTAATAGCTTTATTTCTGTTGTGTGCTGTGTGCTTGTAGTGCCCTCTAAATCTGGGATCTGGCTCTTCACGTGCCTCAGGAGCACCATAGGATGTCTTTTTGCAAGAAAGTTGGGCTTACACATAAGCTTAAGGTAATCTGGAAACTTCCAAAGCTTCTCTTGTTTGCCAGGTTCCTCAGATGCTTCAGGTGGTAGGGAAATAGGAGGTGACTACACCGTTTGCCTTTAGTGCTTGCTTTTTGGTGTTTTACCTTTTATTTTGGTTTAGAACTCCTTTCTTCTTGTCCTACCTTATGTAAATATCCCTTCTCTCATTGCTGAAGCAGGCAGTTATTTTTTTTACCAAAAACACATGATGATGACAGTGGTACATGAAGTTGAAAAATCCATACAGCACATACAACACATGTTTCTAGTCCAGAACGTGAAGACACTTCACAAAGAAAAATACAATTCATGGATTTTGACTAGGATTAAATCTAAACTGCAGCTGGAGAGGCTGCTATTGCAAGCATGGTGGAAAAGGGTATTTTAGGACAGTGAGAAGTGCTTTCACTCAGCTAAGTAACCTGCTTCTTACAGTACTCATTTGAGATGCAGTTTCTAAGGCTTATTTAACACAGCCTCAGTCCTGAGCTTGTTTGTTTTGCTTTATTCATAATGCTAAAAAGCTTCCTGGGAATTACAAAACAAAGCTGTGGTGTTGCTTTCATCCCTCTAAGAAAGAGCTCTGAAAGTTGCTTACATTGTTTGCTTTTAATTTCCCTGTACAAGACCTGGAGATTCCATGTGAGAGCTCCACATTCTCGCTGTGAAGCCTGGCTAGCATGGCCAAAACTTAGCATAACCCTTCCAGAATGCAAGTTTTGCCTTCATTTTGCTTTCAGGGATCCTTCCTGCTCACACCCTGCAGAGCTTCAGTCCCAAGATGTTTCCCTGCCCTTTACATCCCTGGGTAAGTTCTCGCTGGCTGCATTTGTGCCATATTGATGTGGAAGTGGAACTTTACAGAATAGTACCAAAAAAATATAGTTCAAATACAGTGTATTTTCTTGGGACATGTTACAAAGTTTCTATTGCACTTACTGCAAAATCTGTGTCTTGTTGCAAAGCAGCTCCTGGGAGGCTGATACCAGCACACCCAAAATGGATAACTTCCATGTTAGTCTTGCATAATTAGCATGCATAATATTGTCACATTTTTGGAGCCTAAATTTAGGCTCTTGAATTCTGCATTTGGGTATTTGGATATGGATGTGCTTTTGAGAGGAATCAGCTCATTGCAGAAGCTGTTGATTTCCTTCCAAGTACTGGGTGGTCAGAACCTTTTCAACTGTGGTGATGTGGATTTAGTGACCTAAACAGAAATATAAGGACGTGGCTTTGAGCAGCAGGGTTTGAAGATATGAATCTTAGCCACCTACTGGGTTTTTTACCCTTAGATTACCCATTCTGTGAAAACTGCCTGCAGACACTGATATATTTTATTGTTCTCTATTAAAATTTGAGCCACTGTGCTTCGGAGATAGGCTGGCGTTGCTCTCTTTATTGTGAGGAGCAACTACTATGGGTACTCTTTTTATATACCTGAGTATTAAAGGAAATCTCTGGATAGTTACTGTCAGCCTTCTAGCAAACCAACTGCAATATCCAGGGATTTTTCCTGGCATCCAAAATAGCTTCAGGGAGTGGGTTTTTTTACGTGGAAGCCTTGAGAAGTAGTTGAGCGAGGGGAGTTTGTAATGAGACCCAAGTCAGGACAGGGAGTCTTGGCTTGTGAGCAGCTGTAATATTCCCATCAGGCTGTGTGCTCACTGCTCTTTGCTTGGATATCTCCCAGGAATTGCATCCATCTGCTCGGCAGCTCGCTGTTACACATCCTCCCCCAGTGCCTCAGCAGGACACAGACCATCCACAAGGAATGCTGGCTCTCCAGGGGGTGCAGCCACAGCCCCCCAAATAGGTATGTCCAGTCCCATTTCCTGATCCAACAGCTTGTCTGCCAATGCCTTTCCTTCTCCCAGTTCTCTTCAAGGGGGTTTATTCTGTGATAAATGAATTGTGAGCAAAATGTAGCAGCTAATTAATGTATTATACAAAGAGGAGATAAATTCCACACACCACTATATTTAAGGCCTGGTAAATTGCTTTATTCGGGAATAAATAAGACTGTAGGAATTCCTGATATCAATAATTGCATAGTTGTGGTGGTTCCTGTAACACATTTAGCAAAGTTCTGGGCCTGACTGAAAATACTGGTGTAAATTTTATTTTCCACTAACTCTGATTTAAATGGAATGTTTAGATAATTGATAGTGGCCTTTTTATTATTATTATTATTATTATTAATATTGATGAATAATTTTTTTCCCTAGCTTCTCAGCTCATGGAAAGTAGCGAGCACACACCAAGGAGGCTACAGAACAAGATGCAAAGCCTGGAAGACCTGGTGGAATTGTTACAGATAAAAAAACAAGGTGCCAGAATTTACCAAAAATATTCCTATTTTGTTGAAGAAACCCACACTCTCAAAAAAACTCTTCTTGGTACCTGCCAAAGCACTTAGACATCTTTTACTGGCACACACAGGTTTTACTACCACTCCCCACTTCTCCATTATCCTGCTTCTAGGAGATTAATCAGATTAACTCCACAACACCCCTTAACTCTAATAAGCTTCAAGATCCTTGACATGTCAAACGTGGCAGCTGCTCAGGGGTGTCCTCGTGGGCTGTCATGTCCAGTTAAGGGAAATTTTTAACAAGCTGATGACGCAAGATCCCCTTGACTCCAAAAACATAGTGTTCCGGGAGCTCCTGAGATGGCAGGATGCCAAAGTCAGATGGCACTTCTTCTCTGTGCAGTTTTTATTATTGCATATTCCAGTTGCTTCCCCTTTGCCCTTTTAAGTCCTGTTGTGTAGATTTGGGAAATTTTATCATTCCCCTACATCATCGAGTGCATGTGTGTCAGGGACATACAAGTGACCTGATGAAGGTAAAACTCATCAAGTTATTATTTATTTATTTATTTATTAAAGTCAAAGGTGTGTGTTCTCATTTTTATTCATTGCCTTGCATTAATATCTTCAGTGGTTTTGTCCATGTTCACATTAAGAATTGCAAACTAAAGCTGCTTTTGTAAGGGCTTGATAAGCACAGCAGAGTGTGCAGGAGGATATTTGGAAGCTTCAGGTGGCTGCACCTCGGGCCTTTATCTTTTGAACATAAGGTGGTGTTCAGCTAATCTCTTCTTGCTGCTATTTTCAGCCATGTCACCAGTGATCAGAACTCAGGAGGTGAAGACAAAGAAATCCAAGGAAAAGGAGAAAAAGCTCTCAAAGTGAAGACGCCGTATGTGTTAGTGATTCCTTTCAAGTAGGTACCTTGTGTTTGAAATATATTATATTTTTTAAAGATAAATTATAAAAGTTCTTCCAGTTTTTTAAGTCTTATTTATAGTTTTTACTTTTAAGTGAGCAAGAAGTACAGAGGAGTAGAAATACATGCAAGTAAATAAAAAACCCTGGCCTTGGACACTTCCAGGGATGGGGCAGCCACAGCTTCTCTGGGCAACCTGTGCCAGGGCCTCACCACCCTCACAGGGAAAGATTTCTGCTGTATACCTGCCCTAAATTCTCCCTCTTTCAGTTTGAATTTCATCCTATACCATGACACCTTTAAGCAGAATGGACTCATCAAGTTTTAGTTGGAATCTTGTATGGGGAGAAGAAATTAGTTTGAGTTGTTCCTAAGCTGTCCTCAGTTATTGTTGACAGTATTTTAATCTGGGCGATTTTTTTATATTTTCTAATTATTTTTCTTCTCTTTCTGATCCTTTTTGCAACAGTGTTGCAAGCTTAGTCAAAATATTAATAAAGGCATCTCCCCTTTCCTAGGAATTGTTTGCAATGAAATTGAAAGGATCATTTTAGATGGCTTGTGTATCACAGTCTGGACTTGCCATACATATTGGACAAATCTACCCAAATTTTCCTAAGAAGAGGGTCAGATGTAGAGAATAAGAGCCCCAGCAGGTTGGGAAAGGTCACAAGTCTTAGTTGTGTTCAAGGAGCCAAGCTAAAAAGAGTTTCAGAAGCTGCAGCCCTGTGCCAAGGGCAGGGAGCAGGTGGGGAGGTCAGAGGGCCAGAGCAAAGGAAGGGACATCTGCCAAGCAAAAAGGTAGCTTAACATCCTTTTGCTGGAACCCAGCAGAGTTGGGAACAGGTCTGGGCTTTCTCCCTGCCACCAGCAGCAGGCAAAGAATTGGCCTGGGGATGCAGCAGGCTCGTAGATTCTCAGAGCAGCTGCACATCCTGGAGTCTGCAGCCCTAACAGCACTTGGTTATTCCGTGGATGGTACAGAAGGACACCCCAGATGACAGCCAGCCCCTAAGAGAGAAAACCCAATACCAGGCTAATCTGTAGAGAGACTCCAAACAGTAAGTTTAACTCCCAGAGAGAATGTGGGATGAGCACAGGTTTTGCAAAGCAAACAAGCTGCCAGGCAGGTTTCTGCAGGAGACTTTGAACTGGTTTATTCCCAGTCCCCTCAGGCTGCCTGCACAGCACCCAGCTGCAGCAGTCAGCATCTGCACACCAAACTACTCCACAGGCAGGAGCAGATTGCATTCCACCTAAAAGTAATCAAATTGTCTGATTTGTCACAAGTTTGTTGTCAGGGCTCCGTGGTTGCAGGCTTTGATAAGCTGTGAGTGAGACAGTTTATCATGTGCTTGGAGACCTCCTGAGGCTGTTAGATCCACACAGGAATGACAACAACTAGTTGTTTCTCACATGTAGCTACACTAGTCTCACAGCCAGGACATTGGATTAGACAGGTATTAGCTGTTCCAGCATCATTATTTTTATGCAGCAAGGCAACTTTGTTTAAATCTGCCTCGATGCTTGAGTGAATATATTGTTCAATAATGAGAAAACACCTCTGTGAACTTGGAGATAATACTCCAGAAATACTGAAATCCAGACTTCTTTCTTTCACCATACCAATAATACTTAATTTACGTAGCATAGGCCCTGCTGGGCAAGCAGTGATGTGAATGGCATAATAATTTAGAGGTGGTAGCAAAAGTTCAGTGCAGGTCTTTGTAGAAACCTCACTTGATCTTTCAGCAAGATGATACAGTCGTGAGGACTGTGAGTTTTCTGTGGGATCAAAGCACAGGGTGTTTAATTAAAAAAAAATAAGTTGCTCTCAATTTGAGAGACGTCTCAGGGTTGGTCTCTGACATGTTCATCACTGCATTAGAGAATCTATTCCAGTGTAGGTTAAGTGGCTTTCTAGTGAATAACTTAATCTAATAGCATAGTTAATCTCCTCAGACAAGCCTCAGATGTGTGTATAAATATGCTCAAATGGCAGCAGCAGCGCACTTGACTTCAGTGATTTCAAAGATCAGCTTCTGTTTCAGCTGTACATCTGTGTATCAGGGATATTGTCAACTTCAGATTATTGTTAGAAAAGCCAAGTGCAGAGAATGCAATTGAGGCTGGTTTACTTGAGAAAATGAAAACTCGGGTGTTTGTGCTGAAAACTCAAGTTTGTGCTGAAAAGCCTAGTCTTAAAAAAATGAAGAGAAGTTTAAGTAAGTATTTGCTAACAATACTGTGGTATTGTTCTTCAGTAGGCAGAATATGCCACCTGACTCTGTTCCGGCCAGAGCCCTATTCCCTAGCCAGCCCAACATTCCAGGGTTTTTCTAAAGTCTGCTCCCGCCCCTGACAAAGTAATTCATTAAGCCCAGACTGTCCTATCTGACCTTCGCTCTCCCCTCAGCAGGAGAGGAGCTGTCTGCCAAGCCTTTCATTCGAGCCGACAGGATTGCTGGACAGTAGGAGGTAGTGGATGAACTATTTTGGGGTTCAGCTTTTGTTATTCCCAAGAGTGCTGGCCACCTTTCAGCAGTTCCCTTTCGGCACTTACATTTCGGGTCAAGACTTACATTTCGGGTCAAGTAGCTTGCTTGGGTCAAAGTTACCAAAATGAGTCAGGTCACTGGTCAGCTGGTAACAGGCTGTCAATCTGAAAGTGTTTATTGTTTACTTAATACAGTACAGAAATGAAAACACTTAGGTTGCTATTACAGTGTTGGTAACCACACTTCCCAGCACGCTTCCCAAGCCCAAGCCGTCGGTACTACCGTGCATCCCGTAGCCCCACTCAAAGCAACACAAACTCAAGTCCAGGGTCCAGATTTACCTGGACAGGCAGGTGCTTGGAATGCTGCTCATGCCTTCTCAGCCTACCTTGTATCTCTTCAGCACGTGCTTGCAGTTGATTTTTCAGGTTGCCAGATGATTTCCTAAAGGGGATGGCAGAGCTCTGCTGCTCACAGGTTGGTTTAGCTGGGTTCCATACAGGATTTCCAGAGCTCTGCACTTGAGAGGGTCTCCTACTGAAGAAGGGGAGCCCCCCCCCTAAGGTTTAGGGGCTCGGTGACTCATCTAGGCATGTTTGCCACTAGATCAGCAGCTTCCAACACCCCGTTAATGGTATCCCCACCACTGATGCACAATTTGATCTTCATGTTCAGTCACTAGGGTTCTATTACCGCATTCTTCCCAGCGTCTGACCTTCCCGTTCTCCACCAAGATAAATTTCCACTCCAGTCTGGTGTCTGCGGGCAGACTGATGGACTCGGACCAGAAGCCATCCTTGTCACACTTGAGGGGAACATAGCTGTGCCACTGGCCAAGACACTCGTGGTCCCCGGTGACACCGATGAGCTGAGCCTCGGAGTGTGTGATGTAGTGCACCCGGAAAGCCACGTGGATGTTCTGGAACATGGGGGGCACGGCTGCAACCCTCTTGGCTTTCGAGTCCCCATCGCAGCAGTCTCCTTGTTCCCATTCCCTGCTGTTGGAGTCTTCCATGCTGCCATCCTTGCTGGCCCCCCCCCTCGACCAGGTGCTCAGAAACAACTTCCCACTCTTCGTGGTCCAAGTCCCTACTCTCAGCTGGCTGACCCGGCTGCTCCTCACTTCTGTCCTTACAGTCATCCTCAGAGGCTCCTGCCAAGTTCATCACGCACCATCCGTCACTTGCCTGTCCCACCTGAGCTCGCAGTTCCCCTACCTGGCTGCCGGCCGTATCATCTGGATGCTCCCTGGCGCCGGTGGCATCCCGCTTCGGGATCAGCCGCTCCACCTCCACAGGTCCACCCGAAACTCCACCGCTCGGGACGTGGTTGATCTCTTCCCTCGGACCAGCCGCCAGATCCTCTCCTGGCTTCGGAGCGCCGGGCACAGCAGCCGGCGCCGGCTCCGCGCTCGCCTTGGCATCCCCTGCAAGAGACATTCGGGAAGGACGGGGCTGGTTAAGCGGAGGAGCCGCCGCAACCCGCCGCGCCCCCCTGCCCTCCGCGGTACCTGTGGCCGCCGGCTCTCCGCTCGCCCGCCGGGGCCCCTCTCCGCCGGCCGCCGCCGCCGCCGCCTCTCCGCCCTCCTCGCCTCTGCCGTCGCTGCCGCCGTACCAGAACCATGCGAGGACGGCGGCCAGCAGCCCCACGAGCAGCGCGGGCAGGAGCCCCGCGGGCCAGAGCCCCGCGCCCAGCCAGCCCCAGCCGCGGGGCTCCGCGGGCAGCGCGGCGGCGCCGGGCGGCCGCACCACGGGTGGGCCGCGATCGCGGGCCATGGCCGGGCACTGCTGCAGCGAGAGGGGCCCCGACCGGGGCCGCCCCCCCCGGGCAGCGCCTTAAACAGAGCCCCGGCCCCGGGGAGGAGCCGCCGCCGCCGCGGCGGGCGGGGCCGCGCGGGGGAAAGGCGGGTCGGGATAAACTCCAAAAGTCGGGGGGAAAAGTTTAAAGGCTTCACGTGCACACGCCCTTTTCTGCCTTCTCTCCCTTTTTTTCTTTCTCTTTCCTCGCTCTCCACAACTTAGCCGTGCTGCCAGTTAAACCAATGCAAAACTGAGGGGAGCTGACAGGTAAAAGGTGAGGACTGAATGCGTGAGGTTCTTTGCTGGTTTTTGCCTGAAAGCAAGCACTGGAGCTACAGCAACTGCAGATTATGAAGTTTCGCAGAATCACAGAATTGTTAGGGTTGGAAAGGACCTCTGGAGATCATCTAGACCAAGGCAGGGTCACCTAGAGCAGGTTTAACTCCAGCAGTGCTGGTGGCCTTAGATGCTCTAACAGGGGTGTGCCGAGGGTGACTGATTTGCTGGTACTTTTAACGCTTGAAAATCCAGGCTTGCTATCCCTGAGAAGTGAGATGAATTCACTACTTGTAGCTTCTGCATTATACTCTAATGACCACGACTGGATTCCTTGACATTGCCCTGCTCTCCTGGCTTCTCTGTTATGCTCAGGAAGCTTTTCGGATTACCAGGACTTCAGAGCCCATTAGTGCAGAGGGTATTTGATGTTCATTTTAATTTACCTTCATTTTACGATGCTTGAAGTGATGTGTCAAACTGTATTTCAAAATTAAGAGAGTATACAGATAGATCTTACTAGGAACCTGAGAAATTTCATAAATGCAGCTTGGGACTTTGTGTTTTGCATCGGTAGTTCTGGAGTGACAACCTGTAAAAATGTTTGTAACACCAGAGATTAACACCAGGGAAGGAGTTAGAGGGGGCAGTTCCACTCAGTTCTGATTGCAGCCTTTTTTTTTTTTAATCCATTCTCTTTATCTGACCAAAGGTGTTGCCATGGCTGGATCTCTAAGGCCCACTGACGAGATTTAAGCCACTATCTCATTAGAAAAGACAATGGGTAAGTGGATGTCCCAGTAAGTCTGTTTCCAGTGTGTGAACTTCTTAATCTTTCAGTGTCATTTAGAGCAGCGCTGCCTCAGCTTAGCAGGGCAGCAAATGTCACTCGAATTTATAGAAGCACAAGTGTGCAGCCTCCGTGGTGCAGTTCCCTGGCTGATCTGGAAGAGGGTGGCCTGTGCAGATGCACAGAATTCATGATCTCAATATTTTTCCTTTCTTTGCTTACCACGGCAGCTCAGGCACTGTCTCCGGAGTGCTCCCCCAGCGAGGTGCTGAGCTGGTGCGCAACTCAGAATGTCTATTTTGATCACTGGACGTGTGGGATGTGTCCTGGCATGTGCTGAATGTGCACTGCTCCCATCTCCTGCTCAGTACTGCAGGAGAAGGAAGAGCTGAGGAGCCAGGACCTGCCTGGGCACTTTCTCTGTGGCTGTGGGTTTGGGTGCACTCTCTTTTACCACTGTCGGTGCTTCAAGGTGCAGCTCAGCCTTGCTACTTAAAACAGACCCTTGGCTGTAATGAGTTGTGCTAAATACTGAAACTCTGTGTAGTAGGTGGTGTTTTTGCAGTTTACTTATATTCCTTTTTTCTAGCCTTCAAAACAGAGCCAGTCCCCTGCTCTGTGTCTGTGCACCACCTTGCTCAGCTGGGATTGCCAGTTCGGGCACCCACACGCTGCTGTTCTCTAAGTACTGTGTGTGC